AGCTGCCTTCATCATTATTAACCCAGTTTAACAAAAAGTAAAAGTTAAGCCATGCAAGAAGAGAGAATTTAGGGTGCTCTCAGAGGATATTTATTTATTTGTTTGTTATTCTTTTTTGGGAGAAGGGAGTTTGAAGACAGACTTTAGCTCTGGCTGTCCTGGAACTCGCTCTATAGACCAGAAGAGCCTTGCGCCCAGAGGTCCATCTGCTTCTGCTCCTGAGTGATGGACTTGGGGTGTGTAGCACCACCCAGGCGCTTTCAGAGGCAGTGGAAACCCTCTTGCTACTGCTACAAACTGTTGATGAAGTGTCCATTTGATTCAACTGGGAAGCCCTGCCCCATTGCAGGAAGGAATCAGTTGAACTGAAAGGTCCAGTTCACCAGCTAGCCAGTAGGAGGGGCTGGTTAGCTGAGATAAACAGGACTTAACAAATGGGAAAAAATTTTATTTGGGTTACTCTAAAAAAACCCAATTTTCAGAATTATTTTACTAGATACAAGATGGAGATAAGATAGACCAAAAAATGGCTTTGTTTATTGATTTCTGCAGAAATCACATATCATGTTTGAAATTTTTTGCAAACCTCTATTTTCAAAGTTACTGGGGTTGGCTTGGGTGGGTGTTTGGAGTTAACTTTATGTGACTTTGAAGCACAGGAGGTCTTTGGAAACTTGAAGTAGCCACTGACCAATAGATTATGATAGAGCCACACAAGCTCAGTTTCACTTACTTATGGCCACACGTGGAGGCCATGCCTGTCCCCCAGGATGACCACTGGGGTGCTGGAGTTGGACGTCGCTGAGACGCCTGACCAGGCTTTTCCCTTGGGAAATCAGTTTTTGGTTTGTAAGCAGACTTTAATTTCTGTTACAGGGAGTCATGGAATTCTGATATGTGAAACCCCATTGCAGGAAACCACCTGAAAAAGAAGCAGGACCCTGACCTTACTGAAGGTAAAAGGAGCCCAGATGACCATTAGCAAAGCCAGTGCCTGACAGACACCCAAACCCTTAAGAGGATGCATGTGTTTGACTCAGCAATTCTTATTTCAAGAATTTACTCTGAGAAAATGTTTAAACTTGAGGAAAGGTTTTGTTTTTAGCATTTTGAACCCATCTTTGTTTATGAAGAGAAAAATGGCAATGGCAAAAATGCTCCATTGTAGGGGAGTGATTAGCCATTCAGAAGTCAATCAACTAAACAACAAACAATCAAACAAAGCCCAAAGCAGTGCAGGTAAAAGAGATTGCCTTGCAAGCCTGATTCAATCCCTGGGTTCTACTGTGGAGGGAAAAACCAGCCTCACAGACACACTGTGGCCTGGGTCGCCCACACTCACAAATCACAAACACTCACCCACACAACCTATTAGGGGAAAATCAAGGTTCCCTTCTTGGGTTCTTAGTCTTGTTAATTAAATAAAAAAAGTTGAGAATCAGAAGGAAACTCAGGGATCATTTTATTAGAGTTTCAGAGAAAAGCAATGAGGCAGGTAAGGTATAAATCACAGCAGTTTCCAGAAGGAGAGACATGGAGAAGAGAGAAAGTTACGCCTTTGAGTTAGGACCGAAGGACACAGGCAAATTCAGCAGTGGAGTTCAGCAAGCAATGTGAGGGTTGGGAGTGGAGGTCTTCAGAGAAATGGAGTCTAGTGTGTCAGGAGCCCACACTGAGGCTTTTGGTCAGTATCAAAAAAAAAAGAGAAAGAAAGAAAGAAGGAAGGAAGGAAGGAAAGGAAGAAAGAAAGAAAGAAAGAAAGAAAGAAAGAAAGAAGGAAAGAAAGAAAGAAGGAAAGAGAAATAGAAAAAAGGGAAAAGTTACAGGCTTAAGGAATTTTATTTATTCATCATTTATTTTGGGTGTAGGTGTGTTTTGTTTGCATGCATGTCTGTGCAACAATGTGCATGCCTGGTGCCCATGGAGGCCAGACGAGGGCGCTATATCTCCCTGAAACTGCAGTAGAGACCATTGTGAGCTGTGACTTGGGTTTACTGGGAATGGAACCCAGGTCCTCTGGAAGAGCATCCTTTAACCCTCGACCCCCTAAGCTACAGTTTCCCTGTTAGAACAGAGAAAACTGGGCAAGCTTAGCAGTGCTGAGTGGTGAAAGCTCTGTAAATACAAACATTATCCTCTGAGGAAATAATTATCCCTCCCAACTTAGCGTAGAGTCAGATTCCCTGTGGAATGGTCTCTTGGCTGGGTGACTGGCAAGGGACATTATCTGTAGTGTTTTAATCCTTGGAGCAGATCAGAAAGTCTACAAGGGCAGCAAGTGCAAAAGGAAGAACTCAGATAAGAGGGTAAAAATCCTGTTTGCTCAAGCCCTGACTGCAGGGCTGTCTCTAGTAGCTAGCAAACCAATAAATACGCAGTGGGAAAATAAGAATCGTTTACTCTTGCAGGAAACCCAGAGACTTGTGTCTCTGTCTACCATTACCCCGCCATGACCCTGTACTGCCCATGGCTGTGCTGGCTGAGGCAGCTCAGAGGTGGGGTACTTTCCTGGGCTCAGTGCTTAACACCCACCCTGGACTACTGAAGGGACTAAGGGCTTGGTTAGTTCAAGTCTGTTAGGCAAAATAGAGGACCCGGGCTCGATCCCTAACAGCCACCCCAGTACATTGCAGGTATATGTATATTTATGTGTATGTCTATGTCTGTCTATGTCTCTGTCTCTGTCTCTGTCTATGTCTATGTCTCTGTCTATGTCTATGTCTATGTCTATGTCTATGTCTCTATGTCTGTTCCTGTCCTTCTCTATCTCTCTATATATATTTATATCGGTATCTGCTAATGGGACAATGCAACATTTTAACTTAGAGAAAAATAATTGATAAGATAAATTCTGTAGCAACTATAATAATAATTATGTTCTACTAATATAATAATAGAATGGGGTCTAGCTTTGACGAGGAGTTTCCACAGATTAACACGAAAGATAGCAGCAGTGGAAGACTGGAAGCCCTTCCTGACGTGGGCTTCATTTCATCCAAAGGAGCATGCTGAAGAAGAGCTAGCTTTGTAAGAACACTGGGAGAGGCAAATATTGTGTGAAGTGTCATGCAGAGCTGTCCCTTTCCTCTCTTGGGCCTGGGTCACAGTCCAGGCAGCATTCTTAGCGGATTAGAATCTCTCCTTTAATAAACTATCTCCTTGCCTGTAAGCATCCGTGTGCTTCATACAACTTACTGTAAAGAGGTATAAGATCTTGGGAAGCTCAGTGGCTGCCTGCCAGACTCAAATCCTCCCCTGCATCGGGAGTTTGTAAGCAAGGGTGAGTAAAACCATTGAACTGGACCACCCATGGGAAAAAAAAAAGTTTGTTTAGGAAATTAAAGTGCCAGGTATTCACTTGGAGGCCAGAGAACAGTGGCGCAGAAAAAGCCTTGTCAGTCTTAAGGGAATAGGGAGGAGAGGTGTGGTCAAAACAGCCTGGGAGTTAGTGCAGGCTTTTGCTGTTCAGGTTAACAGGAACTAGATGTCTGTGCCCCAGGTAGGTGACTGTTAGGGACAGCTGGATAAAGGAAGTGGTGATTTTCCTGGTAAGGAGAAAGGTGCCTTTGAGGTTCCTGAGGGATGCTGAATTTACCCTCTGGGTTACTCAATAACCTTCTGTTTCCCTGGCAGAGTCCTGCCTGAGCTAGGACATGGCTATTGGCACTACCACTGTGGGGGCCACTGTGGACCTAACACAGCTTACAGGCAGAGCACTAGCCCTGAAGAGTGGACGGAAGAGAACGGTTTTAAAGAACAGGGTAATTTTACCACGTTGTCTCTACGAGGCCATGGGATTTTGTGTATATTTTTCTCTAACACGCATGGCAATATGTGCCCGCATCACAACAACGGGGCCATTATTCACATTCGGAACAGGTCTTGGTGATGCAAACTGTGTAGCATCCCGTAGGCCGATGTGGCCTGTCTGTTTTCAAGCTCTTGGCCTTTAATTCAAACAACTGAAAACAAAGGCTCTAAGATTTTCAAAAGAAGCAAAGTGAGTTCATCTGGAGCAAAGTGAAGCTACAGATTAGAGCAGGATACACTGTCAAGATGGACCAGTGGCTGTGTGAATGAGGGTTCTGACACACCCTGATTATTGCTTGGGCTTTCACGCATGGGGTTGAGGAAATGAGGGATCGAGTTACAAGAAAGGAGACAGGTTCTTTGTTTTGTCTGACAGGCTGAATTTAACCAAGCCTTTAGTCCCTGAGCATGCCCTTCACATAACACATCTGACTTTCTTCATATGCATACGTAATTATGCGAAAGATACGATGCTCAACAGGGAACTTTCCATAAATGTGAGAAAATAGTTCTACTTTCCTGCATATGCACCGCAAACGAGTGAGCAGGTGAGATCAGCCTGTTCATTCTCCCTTCCTAATACATTGGTGCCACACTTGACTAGAGACTGCTTACACTTGACTGATGGAAAGACAAAAGAAAAAAATCCAAAAGCCCTGAAAGTGGCCCAATGAAAGTGGCAGGGTGTCTGTGGTATATGTAGGTTATCACAAGAGGGAGATGTGCACAACCCAAACCAAAGAGGGTCCCAGGATAAACACCTTCCTGTGGCGCCTGCCTCGGCCACAAGTTCTAGACCAGCATGGACTACATAGCATAACTCTATCTCAGATAACAAACAAAGAAACAAAAGGTGGGGGGAGCCTTTATGGATGGAAACAGGCCTGTTTGTCTTGTTCATAGTTGGTCCTCACGGCCTAGTCCACTTGCTTGAGATACAAGTCGACACAGCAATTATTTCTTCTTAGTCCCTTTGTTTTGACATATGGGGCAGGGGCATGAGTGTGTGTATCCCCACGTCCATGGGGAAGTCAGACGACAACTTGTGGGTGTCAGTTCTCTTCTTTCAATGTCCCGGGTTTAGCTGCAAGTGTTTTTACCCTCTGAGCCACCTCATGGGACTTAAATTCATGTTCTTTATAGCAAAGCATTGCTATCGCCGTTATCTGTTTTCCTTTCTCTTTTAGAAGATGGCCGAGCACGGGGAGGCCTCTGAGGAGCCAGTTACTGAGTTTGATTATGACCATCTCCATGAGCTCTCTGCTCTTCTCGGTGTGGATGCAGTGCAGCTGGCCAAGAGCCAAGATGAAGAAGAGCGTAAAGCACGAATGAAAATGAAGAAAGGTTTTAACTCACAGATGCGCAGTGAAGCCAGGAGATTAAAGACTTTTGTGACCTATGACCCATATAGCTCATGGACACCTCAGGACATGGCAGCTGCTGGGTTTTACCTTACTGGGGTGAAACTTGGGGTGCAGTGCTTTTGCTGTAGCTTAATCCTCTTTCACACCAGCCTCAGGAAAGTTCCCATAGAAATCCACAAGAAATTTCGTCCAGAATGTGAGTTCCTGTTGGGCAAAGATGTCGGTAACATTGGCAAGTATGACATAAGGGTGAAGAGTCCAGAGAAGAGGCTGAGAGGCAGCAAAGCACAGTACCAAGAAGAGGAGGCCAGGCTGGAGTCCTTTGAGAAGTGGCCGTTTTATGCCCATGGGACCTCGCCACGTGTACTCTCCGCAGCCGGCTTTGTCTTTACAGGTAACTAACTGGGTCCCATTTTGTGAGGTTTTCTGTGGCGGTTAAGGGTTAGGTTCCATTTTGTGGGCAGTATTTTGCTAATCACCAATTATTGGTGAACTGTGTTACATTAGCCATAATGTGTATTTCATTACATTTCAACTTTAATAACTTTGCTTCTGCTTTAGTGCACATTTAATGAAGCATTGGTTTGCTACAGATATGTATGTATAAGCGTACACACATGCACACTCATATGTGTGTAAAGTAAATGTTGCTTTTCTTTACACATAGACCTTAAGAGTACCGGCAGTGGGCTGAGTGTGTAGCTGAGTGCTACATCACCTCGGTAGGACCTCCAAAGCCCTGGGCTGTGTCTATGGAGGACGGCCATGACTGGGGTGGGAGGTCCAGACTCAGAAGGGAGTCATTTAGGGCAGTGGGATGTGGCCAGGGATTCAGCCAGAGGACATGGAAGAGCAAGCATGCTGGGGTCTGTGTTGCTCTGGTTCAGTACGATCAGCTCCAAGACATACCTGGTGCCATGGCTTCCCTGCATGTGTAGGTGAAAGGGACACTGTGCAGTGCTTCTCCTGCGGTGGATGCCTGGGAAACTGGGAAGAAGGAGACGATCCCTGGAAGGAGCATGCCAAGTGGTTCCCCAAGTAAGTGGATCGTATTTCATGACTAAAATTTTAATGTTTTACAGAGCAAAATAAAACTAGAGATAAAAGAGCCACATTGTTGGGGTATTCCCTTGAGTTCTGATCTTCCTCCTATCCTATATGGGGTCACTCCAGAACTTTTTAAGTGGTCACATAGTGATAAGTTTGAATCACATGAACTTAGCTTTTTCTTCTATTTTTAGTTTTTTGTTTTTTTTTTTTGCTGGATTATTGAGTGATTTTATTGGCTTGATCCATAAAGGATATTTTTAATACATTCTTAGTTTTTTTAAATCAACCTTGTAACCACTACTTTTCTTTTTTTTTTTAGCCTTTCTTTGTCTAATTTTTATTTTTTATATTAATTACAGTTTATTTACTTTGTATCCCTGCTGTTAGCCCCCTTCCTCATTCCCTCCCAAGCCCACCCTTTTTCCCTTCTTTCCTCCCTGCCTCTCTCTAAGTCTATGATAGGGGAGGTCCTCCTCCCCTTCCATCTGACCCTAGCTTATCAGGTCTCATCAGGACTGGCTGCAATGTCCTCCTCTGTGGCCGAACAAAGCTGCTCCTCCCTGTGGGGGTAGGGGGGTTGTCAAAGAGCCAGCCATTGAGTTCATGTCAGAGACAGTCCCTGTTCTCCTTACTAGGCAAACCCACTTGGATGCTAAACTGCCATGGGCTACATCTGAGCAGGGGTTCTAGGTTATATCCATGAATGGTCCTTGGTTGGAGAATCAGTCTCAGACAAGATTCCCATATCCAGATATATTTGGTCCTTGTGGCGCTTCCATTCTTTCCAGGTCATACTAACTCCCTCTTCTTAAATATGATTCCCTGCACTCTGCCCAAGGTTTGGTTAAGAGTCTCAGCATCTGCTTTGATCCTGTCCTGTTTCTTGTTTTCTCCTACTTCCAATGTCCATCCTATTTGTCTTTCTAAGTGAGGATTGATCATCTTACCCTGGAAGCTCCTTCTTGTTTAGCTTCTTTAGGTGTACAGATTTTAGTTTGTTGTCCTATCTTATAGGCTTAGTATCCACTTATAAGTGAGTATATACCATCTGTGTCTTTCTGCTTCTGGATACCTCACTCAGGATGATCTTTTCTAGATCCCATTATTTGTCTGCAAATTTCATGATTTCCTTGTTTTTAATTGCTGAGTAGTATTCCATTGTGTAAATGTACCACAATTTCTGTATCCATTCCTCCGTTGAGGGACATCTGGGTTATTTCTAGGTTCTGGCTATTATGAATAAAGCTGCTACAAACATGGTTGAGCAAATGTCCTTGTTGTGTACTTGAGCATCTTTGGATATCTGCCTGGGAGTGGTATAGCTGGATCTTGAGGAAGCACTATTCCTAATTGTCTGAGAAAGCAGCAGATTGATTTCTGAAGTGGTTGTACAAGTTACATTCCCACCAGCAATGGAGGAGGGTTCCCCTTTCTCCACATCCTCTCTAGCATGTGTTGTCACTTGAGATTTTGATCTTAGCCATTCTGATGGGTGTTAGGTGAAATATCAGGGTCATTTTGATTTGCATATCCCTGATGGCCAAGGAAGTTGAGTGTTACTTTAGGTGTTTCTCTGCCATTCTATATTCCTCTACACAGAATTCTTTCTTTAGCTCCTTTTTCTTTACTTGATTTGTTGCTTTTTAGCTTCTTTATTTCTTTATATATTCTGGATATTGGTCCTCTGTCAGATATAGGGATGGTGAAGATACTTTACCAGTCTGTAGGCTGTCAGATTTTTTCTGATGACAGTGTCCTTTGCTCTACAGAAGCTTTTTAGTTTGATGAGATCCGATTTATTGATTGTTGCTCTTAGAGCCTGTGCTGTTAATGTTCTGTTCTGGACATCTGTGTTCTTTGCCAATGAGTTCTAGGATCTTCCCCACTTTTTCTTCTCACCAATTTAGTGTGTCTAGTTTTATGTTGAGGTCTTTGATCCACTTGGACTTTAGTGTTGTGCAGGGTGATAAACATGGATCTATTTTCATTTTTCTGCATGTAGACATCCAGTTTGACCAGCATCATTTGTTGAAGATGCTGTCTTTTTTCCATTGAATGGTTTTGGCTTCTTTGTCAAAAATCAAGTATCCATAAGTGTATGGATTTATTTCTGGGTCTTCTATTCGGTTCCATTGATCCACCATTCTGTTTCTATGCCAATACCATGCAGTTTTTATTACTATTGCTCTGTAGTACAGCTTGAGATCAGAGATGGAGATACCTCTAGATGGTCTGTTGTTGTACAGGATCATTTTGGAGATTCTGGGTTTTTTGTTTTTCCATATGAAGTGGAGAATTTTTCTTTCAATGTCTGTAAAGAATTATGTTGGTATTTGGATAGGAATTGCATTGAATCTGTATATTGCTTTTGGCAGGGTGGCCATTTTTACTATGTTAATCCTACCGATCCGTGAGCATGCGAGATCTTTCCATCTTCTGATATCCTCTTCAATTTCTTTCTTCAGAGACTTGAAGTTTTTTTCAAACAGGTCTTTCACTTGCTTGGTTAGAATCACACTGAGGTACTTTTATGTTTTTAGTGGCTATTGTCAAGGGTGTTGTTTCCCTAGTTTCTCTCTCAGCCCCTTTATCTTTGTTATACAGGAGGGCTTCTGAGTTTTTGAGTTAATTTTGTATCCAGCCACTTTGCTGAAGGTGTTTGTCAGTTGAAGGAGTTCTCTGGTTGAATTTTTAGGGTGATTCATGTATACTATCATATCATCTGTGAATAGTAATACTTTGACTTCTTCCTTTCTGATTTGTATTCCTTTGATCTTCTTTAGTTGTCTTACTGCTATAGCTAGGACTTCAAGTATAATGTTGAAGTGATATGGGGAGAGTGGGCAGCCTTGCCTTGGCCCTGATTTCAGTGGGATTGATTTAAGTTTCTCTCTGTTTCGTTTGATGTTGGCTGTAGGCTTGCTCTATATTGCCTTTATTATGTTTAAGTATGTACCTTGTATCCCTGGTCTCTCCAAGACTTTAATCATGAATGGGTTTTGGATTTTGTCAAATGCTTTTTCAACATCTAAGGAGATGATCATGTGTTTTTTCTCATTCAGTTTGTTTATATTGTGGATTACATTGATGGATTTCTGTATATTGAACCACCCTTGCATGCCTGGGATGAAGTCTACTTGATTATGGTGGATGATATTTTTTTGTGTTCTTGATTCGGCTTGCAAGTACTTTATTGAGTAGTTTTACATCAATGTTCACAAGAGAGATAGGTCTGAAATTCTCCTTTTTTGTTGGGTCTTTGTGTGGTTTAGGTATCAAGGTGACTGTGGCTTCATAGAATGAGTTTGGTAATGTTCCTTCTGTTTCTATTTTGTCAAACAGTTTGAAGAGAATTGGAGTTAGCTCTTCCCTGAAGGTCTGGTAGAATTCTGCACTGAAACCATCTGGCCCTGGCCTTTTTTTGGAAGGGAGACTGTTGATGACTGCTTCTGTTTCCTTGGGGCATAGAGGACTTTTCAATCTTTATGCCTGATCTCTATTTAACTTTGGTAAGTGCAATCTATCAAGAAAATTGTCCATTTCATTTAGATTTTCAAATTTTGTTGCATATAGTCTTTTGTAGTCAGACCTAATGATTGTTTGGATTTCTTCAGTGCCTGTTGTTATGTCCCTCTTTTAGGTTCTCTCTGCCTTTTAGTTAGTTTGGCTGAGGGCTTGTCTATCTTGTTGGTCTTCTCAAAGAATCCACTCTTGGTTTCATTGATTCTTTGAATTGTTTTACTTGTTTTTAATTTATTGATTTCTGACCTGAGCTTGAATATTTCCAGTGTCTACTGGTGTGTTTGCTTCTTTTTTTTCCCTAGGGCTTTCAGGTGAGCTATTAAGTTGCTTGTATAGGATGTTTCAAATTTCTTCTTGAAGGCACTTAGTGCTATGAGCTTTCCTCTTGGCGCTGCTTTCATTGTGTCCCATAAGTTTGGGTATGATGTACCTTCATTTTCATTGAATTCTAGAAAGTCTTTAATTTCTGTCTTTATTTCTTCCCTGACCCAGCTGTCATTGAGTAGGGAGTTGTTCAGTTTTCATGAATGTGTAGGCTTTTTGCTACTTCTGTTGTTGAGGTCCAGCTTTATTCCATGGTGATCAGACAGGATACAAGGGATTATTTCAATCTTCTTGTATCTGTTGAGGCTTGCTTTGTGACCAACTATATGGTCTATTTTGGAGAAGGTTCCATGAGGTGCTCAAAGAAGATATACTCTTTTGAATTTGGGTGAAAAGTTCTGTAGACATCTCTTAGGTCCATTTGATTTAGGAGCTCTGTAAGTGCCCTTATTTCCCTGTTTAGCTTCTGTCTGGATGATCTGCCCCTTGTTGAGAGTGGAGTGTTGAAGCCTCCCACTATTAAGGTGTTGGGATGGATGAGTGATTTTAGCTTTAATAATGTTTCATTTACAAATGTAGGTTGTCTTGTATTTGGGGCATAGATGTTCAAAATTGTGATGTCCTCCTGGTAGAATTTTCCTTTGATGAGAATGAAGTGCCCCTCCTCATCTTTTTTGATTAATTTTGGTTGAAAGTCTATTTTATTAGATATTAGGATAGCTACCCTAGCTTGTTTTCTGGGTCCATTTGCTTGAAAAACATTTTTCTAGCCCTTTACTCTGAGGTAGTGTTTATCTCTGCTGCAGAGGTGTGTTTCTTGGATGCAGCAGAATGTTGTATCCTGTGTCTGCAATCATCCTGTTAGTCTGTGTCTTTTTATTGAAGATTTGAGTCCATTGATGTTGATGGATAATAGTGACCAATGAGTGTTAGTTCCTTTTATTGTGGAATTGGTGGTTTTACTGTGATTCATTGCTTGTTTTCTTGTAATTTTTTTGGGAAATTATCTGTATCCTATGTTTTCTTGAGTGTAGTGTTTTCATTGAATTGGAGTTTTCCTTCTAATATCTTCTGTACGGCTGACTTCCTGTGTCGATATTGCTTAAATTTTGTTTTATCATGGAATGGTTTGTTTTCTCTGT